GTCCACTTCTCCTTTTATGGAACTATCACCCACATTAAATCATGCAGAAGTGAGGTTAATAATGAACAATCTATTACATTTGTGACTTAAATAAATAAAGCTAAAGTTTCCTGTCTAAATTACACCTATATATATCAGGAGAAACTCACTTGAAGTCAATGGAGCCACGCTGGTGTGAAACAGGAGTAAGTGAAAGCCGATTCTTCCTATGGCTCCTTATCTCAACAAAGGAAAACAACAAATGTTGGACAAAGAATGAAAGGCAACTTGGCACTTAAGATGCATGTACTATCCTAGCACTTACTGTGGATGTTTATGACTAACTAAAATTCTCTGGTAATGCAGTGAGAGGCGGATTAGAAGATTCATGGTATACAGCATTACACTCAATATCAATATATCAGATATTACTTCCCTCTAGTAATAATTTTCTTAAAAAACCCAACAAAACTATTAAACCCCTCCCCCCCCACAATTACAATAAGATCATCTACCAACACCACCCATGGAGCTGTCTCTAAAATGGAAGAGATTTTGAATGGAAATGACTCCTCCATTGTATCTGGGAGCCACTTGTTTTTGTCATTCTTACAGGTGAAAATTGTCACTTATGATCTGACCACAGAAAACAGTTTATAGCAGCAGTACTGTAGCAAGGGGAGGGGTGGGGAGGGGCAAGCAGGGTGATCGCCCTGGTGCACCCAAGTGAAGGGAAGCCAACAGGTGCTGCCCAGCTGGTGCAGGGTGCGGGACAGTCACAAGCAGTTTTTTTTGTGTGTGTGGGGGGGGCATGGGGATGGGGGAAGCGGCTCCTGCAGCTGTGTGCACCCCCGGGGGAAGAATGAGGGGGTGCCCCCTGGATCTGTGAATGGGGTGAGGGCAGGTTGCTGCAGGCTCTCCCTGAGTGCAAAACTTCCTTGTTATTACGGTACTGTATAGCAGTGACCCAAAACAAGTGCACAGCTGTAAACCACTTCAAATATGGCTGATTGGGTGAAAATCTGACCCCTCGTTGCATGTGGTATCGGATAAAAGATGTTACATTTTGAAACATCCTTGTAACTTGTGTCTACAGAGCTCCCAGCCTGTCACTGTTTTCAGAACAGAATGGGGGAAAGGGAGCAGAGGGAGTTTAGTCTGGGGGGTCAGCCCCCCTGGAGGGAGAGACAGGTGTATTGGAGCTCCCCTGAGGGGTGCATTAATTGGAGCCCCCCCCACCTCCACACCATCTGAGGAGTCCCAAGAATGAGCTCCCTTCGCTGCCTTTCCCCCCTCCCATTCTGAAAACAATGAGCACTGGCAGAGAGCTGTGTCCCTTGCTATGGGAACCTCGCTGCAGGCTCCCAGCCCCAGCTAGATCCCCCTCCCCCTGGAACCAACAGTGAACGTCTGTTTGGTCTGGGGTAACGCTGTAACTCAGAAACTTTGCAGAAATCATTCTGAGTTACAGCCGGGAGCTACACTTCTGTCTGTACCCCTTATGGCCCCAGTGTAATTGTCAGTAAATTGTAGCAACCATGCATTTGTTATTTGATAAGGACTATCATTTGAAAAAGTGATTAGTAATTTTGAGTGCTCATTTTTTCATGGTTAAAAGATCTTTAATTTCTGAGTGTGGATACTCAGCCCTTTTTAAATATCAGGCATATTCAGGTATCTCTGACTGTGTACTCCAAAATGGGAGCACCTGGTATCTCTAGTTGCTATTCAATATCCAGGTTTAGAAACGTTGGAGACCTTTTTGTAAAAGCTGACCTGCTTCTGTAGGATAAACAGAAAATTAACTAGCTGTTTATGAGTAGATGGACTTCCCTCTGAAAAGACATGGCTTATTCCATTGTATGGGCGACTAGTGCCTCCTGGGTTGGGGGGGCACTTGCCCCCCCCGGACTGAACAGTCAAGGACTGGGAGCCCACCATGGCCGATCCCACAAGCCAAGGGGGTCCCCCCATGGCTGATCCTGCTGACTGGGGGAAGACTCCCTGCACAGCAGCTGATCCTGCCAACCTGCAACTGGCAGCGGTGTGCCACTGAAATTTCTAGCTGCACCGCTGGCTCTTCCACATTGGTGGGATCAGCTACTGCAGGGGGGACCACTTCTCCTGGCACGCTCCCTGGCCAGTGCTCTCAGGGAGGGCATCAGCACTCTCGCCTGCCTCCCCCACCTGGGAACAGTGGTTGACGGGGGGTGCACCAATGCTGTCAGGAGTGCACATGCACCCCCCGTGCACCCCCTATGCATCGCCACTGTTTCATTGTTTGAAAAAAAACCCAACAACCTGTCAACGTTCAGTACTTAAGCAAGATGTTAAAACATAATAGACTGGCATAAAACCAAAGTACTACACGAATAGGTCCACACCTATATTTGATACAATCCTGCACTGCCTGTTTTAGAAGACAAGGCCGTTTTTAACATGGCACATGTGTTACAAAGCAGGTGAGATTCTCTCTTTCTCTCCTTTTTCAATTAAGTGCCCAATCAAAAAGACACAAACAGAGAGATCCAGCTATTTGTAATGTTCAAAGAACTTGCTTGCCGGAAAATCAGAGTTTTTTTTTTAAAAGCTCAGAGGATCAGTATCATTGGTTAATATTTACTATCTAAAAACATTGATCTTCAATAATCATCAATAACACATCAGTATGAAAGTGAGAGCACAAAATTACAAGTAGTCCTTGAGCCTTTGTTCCTTTCATCACAACCTTCCTTCATCAGACTTGGCCAAAATCCGTGAAGCATGCAGGAAATCAGAATTTTGACTGCCACCAGCCAGAAAAGGAAAACAAAGAAAGGAGCTGTCTTAAGGAATTTAAAAATAGATTGAAATGCATAAATAGAGGTAAACCCATTGACTTAGGTTTTATTCATGCAGCTCCTATACAGACAAAATTCCCACTAAACAGGGACATAGTCTATGAATGGGAGAGGTGAAGTTGGGCAGTTCTGCACGCTGGGTAGAAGTGGCACCAGGGGCAGTGGCCAGGTTGCCAGAGGTAGTGACAGCACCAGGATGGAACAAGCAGCAGCAGTTGCTACTTTTGCTCACTTCCCAAGTCAATGCCTGCAACTGGTACCCCTGTCGCTTCCCCCAATTATGCTATTGAATGGACTGCAGGATCAGACCTGTTAAGGCAGTTTGGCTACTCAAAGGCAGTTGAATATAGAAGCTGGGTGCTGCTAGGCTGATGTGTATGCTACTGAGCACCTATGAAGCTGAAGTAGCTTCTATGGCCACTTATTTAGCTCCTTCAGCCTCTCCTGAAGTGAAAATGAAGGAAAGCACAAGGTAGCACTTGGCTACACATCACAAGTGCCCCATCCTACATGCCCCCATGCTGACAGTTCCCCTATGGATGAGATTCACGTTGTGCCTCGGAGACACAATATCAGGTTAGTCCTTCTGGAATCGTATCTTTCTGCTCCCAGAGCAGAGAAACCTTATTTTCTTGCTCCGGAGGTCAGACTGCAGCTGCAGGAAAGGGTCTGGCTTTGAACTCCAATTATTAGTGCTGTCCCTCATCCTGTTGGCTGCCTTGCACTGGGGAGTGCCCTCACTTTAATTAATCCTGGCCCTGAAGGTGTCCTACTTGTGTTCTAACCTGGGCACTTACCCAACACTGTTATTAAATCACACGTTCTTATACCACAGTTTTAATTAAAATGAAGGATGCTAACACCATATTCAGAGACTGCTGCGTGATAGGCATTCTTCTCTTCACATTTCTTACAGCGACTAGACCAGCTATTGAGGTTTAACAGGCTGTACTCCCATCTTTTGTCAATGAGAGAGCCACCAACAGGCAGTAATAACAACCATTTTGCAGATTCAGGGCCAGATATTCCCTCCTTTGCTAATACAAGTTGCCTCACCTCAATTAATGGCATTACATGCAAGATCAGGCCCTGAAACAACCCGTGCCAGATTCATGGTCAGACAAACTAGCGTTACCGATTCTGTCAGTACTTCCATCCAAAGCAATGACCTTTCTGAAGAGCAGCATGTAGCATTTAAGGCTAATGAGGTACATTTTAATAGAATAATGCTTAACCCATATTTTACACCTAATGAAATACCCCTCCTCATGGATTAGAGCATCAGGAGCTCTAATTTATTTCAGTATTCTCAGCGGCATCATGGAACTGATTCCAAGGACAAGTTTGCTTCTCTGTGGGACATCCTCCAAAGGGGTGAACCTTTTTTTTTTCCTACCCCCTTAATGACCTTCCTGTGAATATTCATACAGCATAGAACAAGGCTTTGCATACTGAGCAATAAGCTCTTTGGATCTGTGCCTTGATTGTGCTTTAATGTGGCCCATGTGCAAAGTGTATGAGCAAAATCCTTATCTATATGCTGAAGTGATGCAGGAAAATAGGCACAATGGGTGAAATTCTGTGCAGATGGACAATGCGAGTCTAATGCATCACTTACCTCCTATTTAAGACCTCAAAATAAACCTTCTGCATGTGCTGGGTCCCATTTAATTCTGGTTTGCAGTATAAATGTGTTTAACAGCCCTCAGGATATAACCCTTGCTATATAGTACCAGCTTCACCAACTGTCTGTTTGGAATTGGGAAGGAAAGATGTGTTTATACAGCAAATAAGTATGAAAGCTACATATTATTTCCTAGTAAACAAAGACATAGCAACACCACAACACTATAAATTGGTTTCCTAATAGCAAATAAACCAATCTCTCATGTTGTCAGTCAGCAGTGGAATCTGATACTCCCTGCACTCAAACTCTGATAATATTGTTTATTACACACCCTCTGGAGGCTGTTACCATGCTGATCTAACAGACGTTAACATCAAGCTATCTACTTGGTAAATAGCTGCAAGACACCTTATTGCAGCTCCGTGTTTTACTTGTATAATAATGCCCACCAGTTAATCCTTCTAGTGCCAGAAGAAATACGTCCTTGAAGATCTTCCTCCTGAAAGCAGGTATGGTGCATTTTCTTGCTCTGAAAAGGAAAGTTGTGTTTCTAGATGGCGATAGCTCTGGCGCTGAAAGACAAGATCCTGAACTGGAGTAAACTGGCATAGCACCACTGAAATCATTGGAGTGCCATGGACTTGCATGAGTTGAGGATTTGGTTTAGTATTCTTCTGTCTGCCCACAGGCAACCATATTACAGGCTGCAAGCAATGCAGCCTTCCCCAGTGCGATCAAGCTGTGTTGATCTGAGATAAGAAGAAATACAAGACTCTAAAACTCTTGGTTCCTAGATGATATTTTTTATTATACCAACTCATTTGTTTTGCGATTTCTTAGTTGGTCTAATAAAAGGTATCATTTCTGAGCCAAGAGTTCTAGAGTTTTGCATCAATGTGGGGGTAGCACTTGACAGGAAAGGGTAGTATATGGGGGGGTTTTTTATGCCTTGGCTTCTCTGCTTGGATCATCAACAAGAGATCTAGCTCCTGTTGGTTTGGGTGGTAGTTTGGGTACAATGTGGACACTTGTGTACTAGGGGCTGGCCTGAAATCACCAGGTCAGTTCATAAAGGGATGCTTAAAAGCTGATTATTACTAACAACCTTATACCGATATGGGTCTTATTCTGTTTAGCCATAAGGGAGAAGGACAAAAAAGCTAGTATAGAGGGGTCAAGCAGAGAAGTGGAAAACCTGGCTCTGTTGAAATCGGTGTCAAGACCTCATCAACCTCATTTGAGCCAAATTCTCATCCTATGGGTCTTTCATATGGAGAGAGCAAAAGACAAGTGTCAAGTATTGTCACAAGGTCAGACCCTGATGGTAGAAGCCACAGAGGTCTACTATAATAAAGAGGGTGAGAAACATGGTTTACTAGAATTGTTGATTCCAACCCAGACAGTTTGCTTTAGGTTTAGTACCCAGTGGGCACATCTATAGGTGCTATTGAGGTGGCTGAATAAACTCTGGTGCAGTTTGCCAGGGCAGCACAGCTCCAGCTGTCAGGGGTCTTGGGGGTCAGCCTGCCAACCCAGGGCTGCTCCCTCCAGCTCAATGTGGACTCATGCTCCCTCCAGCTCATGAGGGCACTACACTGTGGGGCTAGCCAGAAGGCAGCCTCTGCACCAGCACCCTCCTGCCCCAGCCAGCTGGGTCCCTGTCTACATGAGCATTGTGGTGGAGTAAAGTACTCCACCACAGCATAGTACCTGGTAGTACTATTCTGCAGGAGAGTTAATTAGTTTACTCCAGTCTAATACTATTGTACGTGTAGGTGGTGACGTTTTACTGTGGAGTAAGGCTGTGTGAAGCTTCGGGTGGTGATTTGATTTGGAGAAAATTCGGCCCGATTTGGTGGCTGAATCTCTGAATCCGAATTGAATCAGGGGACCAGTTAAAAGGTCTGAATTGATTCAAGGCTCTCCGAATTTTTGGAAAAGATTTGGAGAGCTTTGATGACTTGGGCAGGGAGCTGGAGCCGGACTCGGACCTGGTAAGTACTAGGGGCAGGGAAGGGGGGCTGGGGGAGGGGACCTTAGGGGGACCCCTGCCAGGCCCCAACCCTTGCCTGCTCCCCCAGCCTCCCCTACCCCTGTCCGCTCCCCCAGCCCCGCCATGGCTACCCTTCTGGCCCCAGCTCATGGCGTTTTAAAAAAACCTCCTAGTGCTCACCGGGTGCTGCTGGGCTGGCGGCTAACTCTGCTGTTCCCCACTGCCCCATGCTTGCTGCGGGGCTCTGTATGAGCCCCCCAACTCCTGCCCCTGCTCCCCCAGCCCTGCCACCGGTGACTCACCTGCCACAGCTCTGGCCCTTTAAGAAAAAAAACCGAGAAAAGCCCTGCGACTCTCTGCTCCTGCAGCAGCCTCGGGGCTTTAGGGGACTTGTACAGAGCCCCACATGGCAGGGGGGCAGCGGGGATTGCCCCCCACCCACAGGAATGGTGAGTTCGGGGTTTTTTTGTTTTTTGTTTTTCCTTAAGGGCCCAGAGCCACAGTGAGCGGGGCAGCCATGCTCGGGGGTGGGGGGCTCATGCTTAGTCCCCCATGCAGCATGGGGTAGTGGGGGGCAACGGGGATCACCCCCCCCCCGGCCTGGCAGCACCTGGTGAGTCAGGTCTTTGTTTCTCAAAGTGCAGAGAGCTGGGCTGTGCGGGGCGGCCATTGCCAGGCTGGGAGAGTGGGTGGGGGATGGGCCCGGCTGATTCAGAGATTTGTCAGCAGCCAAATCTCTGAATCAGATTTGGGTGAATTGATTCGGGGCAGCGATCGGAATCACCAAATCAAATCACTATCTCCCGAATCAGCTGAATCTGAATCCAAAGCAAATACTAGCTGCTTCACACAGGCCTACCGCAGAACTAATTGGTCAACTCTGCAGTAAATGTCTCGTTTAGATGCACCCAGTAGTGTTGACTCCACCAAGAGATTCTGATTAGCCGGCTTTGATTGACTGTCTACAATGCAGGCCAACTACCAATAAAATTGAAAGATAATAGATACTCCCAGGTAGGAACAGCTGGTTCAGGAGACTGCTAACAAGATACAGAAGCATCCATGTTGTCTGCTCTCGTCTCTTTTTCTCTGCGTACTCTGTACCTCCTTCGATGCCCCTTTCTCCATACAGCCATCTTTCTACAAATCCTGTTCCAAATACTCTCTGCTACTTTGAAACCTTTGCCTAAGGCCTACTTCTTTTTCCAATGCTTCCTTTATTGATCACCTAAACAACTATGTCTTTGTGCCTTCCTGTGATGGAATTGTTGTCCTGAATCATCTCAAAGTATCCAATTAGCCCCAGATAGATTATAAAGTGGTTAGGGATTGAAGTTCTTTTTAATGATTTTTTGCAAAGTGCTATGTAAGTTGACAGGTCTATATAAATAATACTGATGCACACAGAGTCCAGATATGTATTAACTGCATTTAAACCTGCATCAATAATAAAGGTTAGGCAGAATCTGCTGACTGCAGAATGCAAGAGGTTTTATAGTTTATTAAAAAGAAAAAAATATATTCCTAGCCCAATATTTTTCTTTATTATATTATATTAGTCAGTCCTCATCTGGTAATCTTGCTGCACATAGCAAGCTACCATTCTATGTCAGGTTTGGACCTGTGTATTCTTGCTGCATTTGACTAATAAATGTTCATTCATCATAGATATTATATGGGCATGCCAATAGATGGCAGTCCATCTACACTTCCTTCCATTTCTTCAGAAGGGATTTTTTGAAAAAAACAAAGAAAGAAAGAAAGGGAGAAAGACAGACAGAAAACACATTTTTTCTCAGATGCTTTTTCCCCCCTTTTATGTGTCAGAGTTTCAAAGCTAAGCGTTCAAAAGCTTTGGAAATGAGAATTTATCTAAAAACTAGTACGCTGCATGCAGCCCCAGCACAAATTACCCCACGCTGGCCTGTCAGATTTGATCTGCATGGATCATCTATGGAAGGGATGATAGGGGATTTAGTTACCATGCTAGCTAGTAAACTGAGATTAGCAATGTGGTAGATGGTACTGCACATTTTAATCTAGGAATTAGTTTACTGCCTAGCTTTTATATTGTGGGTCCTAGATAGATACCAAAAGTTTAAAAAAAATAACAAATTACTTGAATCCTGATTTTCAGTTTGAGTTGATTCTACTTTCATGCCCACCCCTATAAATAAGGAAAAGCTCCAACAAAAGCCTGCCCATGTAAGATTAGTCCAAATGACAGGGATTAGATGCTCTGTGTCTTGCTTGCTCACAGTTCAGGGTCTGCAAGACTTCCTAATTAAAACTAGGTGCATCCTTTCCCATTAAATAGCCTCAGCTTTGTTCAACAGCTCAGGATGCTGAAATACTTTTACCTTCTTTACTCACATCAGGATGTTACCAACATGCACACATTGCTGATACATAGAAAATTATCCACAAGGCACTCCCAACAGGAGCTTATTATATTTTCACTGAATTTGCCAAACTGGAAAACAAAGGGACACATTCAAATTGAACCTGCAGTTCTGTCCTCTGGGAAGGAAGCTGAGATCAGCAAAGACATTTCATTTGGAATCGCATATTTATCTCAACCCAAAATCTTCAGGCGCAAAGTTATTTTACTTGGGGGTCTTCGTTCGGAAGTATTAGATTGCCTTGCTAAGCAATTATATGAGAATCTAAAATCACTGCTCCTCACCAATATGAGTAGCGGTTGTACAATGCAGAGCACAGCTTGAGTAAAGGCACCATGTGTTGTAGAATTACTTGGCTGGAAACTGCCTTGCCAATGAGGAGTCGCATGACAGAGAAGCTACTCAGCTTTCTCTTTGCTGTCAGTACTAGTCCTGGGCTATAATGCTTGCTATGGCCTGTTGCACCTTGCTTCAAGGAAGGCCTGCTATCCAGTGCATCCAGGCCACTGGCTGGCTGTACACCTGCCACTTACTGGTTCATCCACAGTCTTCCCCCTTCACTTCAACCATGGAGAATAGAGCTGGTCTGTGCAGCATGAAGTGAATTGCAGCAACCCCAGGCACAGCCTGTTTGTTTTGTACAGGGTGTCCATTGAGTTCCAGGCATTTAAGATCATGGATGACGTCTGTTATTTCTCCCAGCACCAATGAACTTGCCTTGGCTATTTCAGAAGAAATCATGATCTTAAACACAATTCACTGGTTGCTGTTTGATTCTAAGAATCCTATAATTTATTCTGTCCTGCCTTTCACCAGCAGCAGAAATATACCAAACCCATAAATAGGCTTTAATCTACAGCCATTGTTTGCTAGAGAAGGCAGGTAGTGTGGAAAATAAATTACATTTGCTAGCAGGGCACAGCAGGAAGCCAAAGATTTCTTATGTGATCTGCCCACTATAAAATAGCACATAATATGTAAGCCTCAGTTATCTGTTTTAGGTTGCAATCAGCTAAATACACACACGCAATATATATATAATCCATAACAGATATAGATTTCTTTCTTTTTATTTTTCCTTAGCTAGTCCTAGTTCTCTAATGAATAAAACCAAGCCTGGAGATGATAGAGTTGATACCAGCAAGGAGTGCACAGACAAGGAAGCTGGTGAAACAGAAAGTGCAAAGCAAGAGACATCCTGTCCTCAATTCACTGTTCTACAGGCTTCCAAGTGTGAAGACATTGTACTGCTTGGGAATGAGACACATGGCAGCTATAAGGTACAAATTCCAGTGTCAAGTGCTTTGCATTGTTCTTTACCTTCACAAGGTGTCAGTTTCTAGTGCCCCTTCCCATGATACTTAGATTATTTTATAGATTTCTTTTGTGTCAGAGGTTAGCTGTTACTTTTGCAATGAGAAGTGTCAGTTACATCCAAGAAAAAGAAATCCCCATCCACTTCTTTTTAGTCTATAAAGACTTTCCCTTTAAAAAAGCAGGGGAGAGGGGTGGGAGGGGGTGGTAAGTGAGCAAGAGAGAGAAACCAGAACCTTCAGCTGTAAGAGATGAATCCCTGTAATCCAAAGCCAATACCAAATGACCTACTGGAGGGTTTCTCTTTAAGCCCTGATGCTAGCACCTCTCATCTTTGACCTGAAGGGATTGATTACCTGTTTCTGGAGCATTAATAAATTTCCTGAGCTTCTTTGCTGCTAAACTGTGGGCATGAACTTTTCCCTGCCTAAAAGAACTGAGAAGAAATCACTGAGTTTGTTTTCAAGGCTTCAGTTTAATTGCCAATTCAGAGGATTTATGCTATCTCTGAAATTAATGGCACCACAGTCTATGAACATTGTATTTTTACTCCCTTGGAAATAAGCTGGTGGAAAAAAAAGGGGGAAAAAGACTGAAAATAGTTTTAAAGACACATTTCACAATACAGTTAATGATGTAAATATTAACATTGGCACATGCTTTCGCCCCTTCTCCAAATGGCTCCCCAGTAATTCCATTGTTCTACGATCAGAATGAAAGCTTATAGCTTTATTAATGGCAAGTTATCCAAATACACAAGAATTAATCAGCCATATGACATCTGATTAGGAAGGATAAAATTAATAGAGTATGTTTCTATACCTTTAATAAATATTTGTGCAAGCTTTTAGTGCTCAGGCATGCATGGGCAGGACAACGGGTCTGATCCAGGGATTACTGAAGCCAGTCGGACTATTTTTATTGACTTTATCTTTGGATTGGCCTGCTGTACTGGGAACAGTGCACAAACCATGGAAACAATATGGTCCACTGGCCAGGGCTGTTGACTAAAGAGAAAGGATACCTAGTTTTGTCATTGATTTTTGTTATGATCTTGGACAAATCATGTTACTCTTCTTTGCCTCGATTTCCTTTCACCTCTCCCCTTTCTGTCCTGTGCAGTTAGACTGTAAACTTTTTTAGGTAGAGACTGTCTCTCACTAGGAATTTTATAGTGCCTAGCACAGTAGAGTCTTAATTCTCAGAGCTACTAGACAAGACTGAAACACGAAAGACAGATAGTGATTGTAAGGTAAAGCATGATGCCGCACACTCCACTCTGACCTGTTATGGACCTTTGACATTTCTGCTGTTTCACTCCTAGGTCTGTCTAAGCATAAACTGTGCAAGTCATGTCAAGCAGGACCCAAAGAATAGCTATTTCTTGTACCAAACACAAACAGCTTTAAAAACCATTCAAAAACATCTATTTCTGCAACATTAAGTTTACTATATGAAAAGCTTAGAATTCTTGAAGTAATGCTAACTCAGCCAAATTGCACATACTATTTATTTTATGGTGCACTCATACATTTAACAGCATAAGCACGAATGTGTGCTACACTGTTTAAAAGAAAAGCAAGAGTAGAGAATGCAGCACAGAGAGACCATATGGCTCAGGTAATGATAGTTTCTTAATGGTTAGCCTTGCACTAGCGTGATATAAGCAACATCAGAAGCTTGTTGCTTATCAAGGAATATTACAATTGGAGCATGCTGCAGAGTTCCACCTAGAAGATGTAAAGAGGCAGTTTGTGTAAAGGAAGATCACTTAAATCTACCACTGTACTCATGGGAAATTCTTCCAGAATAATCAGGATTCACAAGCAAGTCACAGGGGCTATGCTTTATGTTTAAAAAAGGCAGCTCTTTCCCACATATGGTATACAACTTTCCAGTAATAAGAACAGAAACACCCCGATAGCTAGGGTGACCATATTATTTTCAAGGAAATCTGGGACCCTGTCAGCAGTGCCGCTGCAGGCAGAGGCAAGTGGGCAGGGGCATGGGGTGCAGTCCAGAGGGGAGGCTGAGCAGCATGGTGTACCAGGTAGGCAGGCAAGACACGAATCACTGGAGCAAATACTCCCCTGCTCACACATGCCCAGCTCAGCCTGGCCCCTGCCTCTAGCCACTGCCTAGGAGGAGCCAGGCCAGGCATGTACAGGCAAGATAGCCCCTGCTCCAGCAGTGCCTTCTCACTTGCCTAGTGCACCATGCCACGCCACCTATCCACTGGACTACGACCCATGCCCTGGTGATTCTGGGACGCTTATTTTAATTTTCACCAACTGACTGAGATGCTAGCATGGCCTACAAAATCTGGGATTGCCGTGGCCAAACTGGGTTGTATGTGGTCGCCCTACTGATGGCCTATTTGAACAAGTCACTATCAGATGGGCACATCTTCCACCCTTTAAGCTGAGCAAAACACAGTAGATCTCTGAGGAAGTCGTGTTACTGAAGTGTCATTCCCAACAGAAAACCTTTGGCAAGGCTGGGATCTGGTGTGCAGGGTGAGAATTAAAATAATACAGGAGTGAATGGTATGCATAGAATTCTGTTTCCCTTTGTGTGCTTAAATGGCAGCTTTCTACCCACATAAGTAGCATATTATGAAGATAATGATTCTGTTTTCATCATAGTGTTGACACACAAGCATGTGCACATGAACTGAACATGTACAGCAGGGTACACACAAAGCAGGCAGGTATGCAGCTATATGTGCACACCCATTATGGATACATACCTGCATCCACATCATGAAAATATACCTAGTCATCCAGTGTGAGATGCCAGAGGAGGATCCTCTTTTTTCTTTTTTAACCTCATTAACAGTAACAGGATATTTACTCAGAAACCAGGATTCTGGGCTGCCTTTCCCCAGAAGAGGTTTGAACCTCCACCTTTTTGACTTCCTAACACAGTATACCGACAGGCAGATTACTAGCTAAATAATATTCAGAGCCTTTTCTGGTGTGTTTTTTTGGAGCTGGCTCACCAGGAAGCCCAGAAAGGGAGATGTGTAAGCCCAAGAAGAGAGCAATCTGTGGTTCAGTGAGATAGTTGTTCCTATGTCAAGGCATATGCATTGGGCTCTAGTCTGAGCTTTGCCTCAGAGCAGTAGTGACTTTTGCACTGCTCTTCTTCCATTTTATCCAATAGCAATTAGTCATCAGGTGCAATGACTCAGCTTCAAAGGGAGTGCTAGAAAAGGATTCAGATAATGCCTGACTTGTGGAGTGGTGGCTTGCATACTGTGCTAGGAGGTAAGTGAGGTGAAGGTTCAAGTATAAGTGCTCAGAAATCAATTCAAATCTGTAACACAACTGGTCCAAGTACAGACATTACACTTTTACTGGTATAAGTGATCAGAAACTGGTCTACACCCATAACAGAAGTTCGGCACACATAGAGTGGTTTAAAAATGGTGGAGCCCCGGTCTAAGATTTGCTCCTCCTACCAAAGGGTAAATGTATATTCTGTTTGTTGCTGATCTAAACTACAACGCTTATAGAAGACCATGCAATTTTGTCTTGGGCTTTTTGAATACCTGTACCTAGCCCAGGTGTGTATTCTTACTGTTCATCCTCAGTCCAGGAAACTTGTCTTTGTCTACAGGGTAGAAAACTGCCATTTAGGTGCACAAAGGGAAAGATAATTCCAGGTCTTGTTTCCCTGCTTAGTCTGATGTGGGACTAAAATACTTCAGTGGTTTTCTGTGGCATTATGGGGTCATGTTAGGGGTTTTTTGGGTGCCCAAACCGCATGTCCAGAGTGTAATGTTTTAATTTATTTTTGTTATTGTTTCGCTTGAATTTCTTGGAAAAGCATAGGATATTCAGGTCACCTGTCCTTTTGGTTGGGAGCTGGGCCCAGATGCTTCTGAGCCCTGCTTCCCTATTTTGATCTCTCCCCTGAGCCCAATAAGTCTTCAACTCCACTCTCTCTTTGAGGAAAATAGATTCTAATACACTCATAAGGCGACCTATCTACTTATTGCCTTCTCTGAAAGGTCTGGTTCTTGTTGCCATGGTATGTGGAGCCAACTCCCAGAATTTCTATAGAGGCAGCAGTTTGTGTCCTGGAATCACTGTTGCATATAGACTTTATTCACACAAGTCTCTGCTGCTGCTGCTGCTGCTGCTGCTGCTGCTGCTGCTGCAGCAGCAGGGAAAATCCATCAGGGTTCAAAAGCAAATCCAAAGAAGCTGTATTCGGGTTTAAAAAACAAACCAAAACAAAAAAACAAAAGACAAGAGGGACATGGAGAAATGGAGCTCTGTTCACACTTGAACAATAATCTATTGTCAAACCAATTTTTTCTAAACGGGAAGGTGAAATGAACTTCCATGGGTATGCTGCTTTATTTTTCAGATTTGCTTTTTTTAGTTTATTAAGGTTCGCTGACACTTCATTACAAAGCCCTGTGTTCAGTTGCCTGCACCTTCACCTAATTTAACCATTTGGACTGAACTTTCTTGAACTAGGCATTTGCTTAATATTTTTGGAAAGTTCTAGCCAAAGTGGTTCAACTATTTTCAAGAATGAAACTAAGGGGAAAATATATTGTTTTGCCCATGTTAAGAAGTTCTGGTGACTCTTCCTTTGAAACATTCTAGTGTCCCTGTGTGTTGAAACAAGGCTTGAATTTGGGTGGGAAAGTGGTCTTTGGGTCAAGGAGGAGTCTTTAGCTATTCCCGTGAATCCGCATGTGGCCAACTTAGAAACTTTCTATAGGCTTCCTGCATGGGCTGAACCAAATTATTCTGGTCTTAATTTTCATAGATGCTGCTCACCCCACATCTTGTACTGGACTTCAGTTGGAATTATATGTCCAAGGTCTGGACTGAGCCTTGCAGCCCACTAGCAGGGCTAGCTTGGCGAAGGCACACCTGCAGCCTGTAGCACACAGGAGTGATGTGGTTATCATTACATCTTGCTGCTGTTTTTTTTTCCAGCCCAA